TGTCCCCCCCCCCCCAAACTGTAGGAGCACAATTCACAGTCATGACCACATACGCCCGGCACTGCTCTTTTGTTACGCCACCAGAATACACTGTCTTAAAACTACATAACTAGGGATGTGTAAAGGCCTCCATGACGTCAGGCTAGCCAAATAGTGAAAGTCCTCCCGAAAATCGGAAGAAACCGTGGGTGACTTCACACAGCCCCTGGTAGGCACAAATAACTTCCAATTTGCAAACATAAGAAGTTACCAACGTCACCTAACTTTGAATCGAGACTTTCAGTTAATTAATGCCCTGATGTGGTCGGCGAAAAATATAATCTCCAGATCCTCATGAAATTGCCTACTAACATTGCATAGTGCGTTAGACGCGTGGATTTTGCACCACACAGCTTCCGGACATCACTCTGGGCAGGAGACCTCCTGACGGTGAATGCAAAATCCATCACGGGACGTATGAGTTTCTAAAAAGCAGTACGCGTATCAAGGGTCGTGCTGTTTCGATCCACTGTGTTGTCACTCCGAATAATTGGCCTCGCAGTTGATAGCAATCCTCCAACCCCGAAGCAGCAAATGTTCAAGCTTGCAGAGAATCTCGAACAGTCTGTCAGCAGACTTATGGGTCAACAGGAAGAAGTCCTTTTCTGTTAAATTACAGAATTAAACTCTTACTGTTCTCTACTTACACGCTCATAATTTGTAATAGAATCTGCTGCAAGATTTTCTGTTATTGTATGCTTTCAATGTTACAAATTTCAATTAGCATGCATGTTTATGTTATGCTAATGTTAAACTAATTCGTTTCACAACATCTTTGCTACAAAACTTGATACTTCATTCCTAGCATCATTACTATTTTAAGTCACATTCAACAAGATCTTGTGACTCATCGGCAGTTAAGTATTTATACACGAAAAAAATATTACCAAAGAAATAGAACAGTAGTTGTGACTCTACAAAAGAATCAGTAATTTGCTCATACAAATGCCGCTCTGGGGTTAAACTGGAATGAGCAGCGTCTCTCAATAGTCCACTTGTACGCTCCTTCAAAAACAGGAGAATGCCGTTATCTCCGCTGCTCTACCCACGATAACACATACAATTCAGATGAGCTGAATTACTATTTAACATAAAATGTTAAAAATAAAAATTACTTTTCTGATGGAGCAGCATCTCAATACAAAAATAATAAAACTTCATAAACCCACGCTCGCATAAAACTGATGCTGTGACAGAAGCAGCCGCCTCCCTCATATGGGGAGGGGTCATGTGATGGTATCGGACACCTGGTAGCACATAAAAGTTCCCAAAAACCACAGGATAATAAAACACTGGCACCCACAAATCTTTATTAGTAGTCAAAGGAAAATTTCAAATCAATCCATCTTAAGTACAATCAGTTCAATGGAGTAGAAGACAGCACACTTAATCTACCTTCGATGTAGTGCAGACTACACCACACACCCACAATTATCATATATTATCATCTGATTACTGAGATTTCTCTGCTAGTGAAATAATACACTCGGACTATGTGGACAAAATGTGAATATTTCAAAACTTAACAGTTCCAAGACATTCCCTTCTGCATAGCGACAGCCATAGAACCTTGTGCTGAGATTAAAGAAAATCTACTACAAAAACTTTACATCTTTGAAAAATATCATTACGTGGCATCAGCTCAGATTTTCTGACGACCAAGAAGATGCAGAGCGAATAGTACTTTTGTGACTTTTTGAAAAATTTCACCTAAGTCATGCATGGTAAGATTCAGTCAAGCAACACCTCATCTTTTCATGGTTTACTTTAGGGACAACGGTGACAGTTTGAAATGAAGAAGTGTTTGCACGGCCCGACTGAAAATTCACACAACCCACATTCAAATATTTATTGATTGCATTTCAATACAGTTTGACTGGTTTAATAAACACACTGTTACTGTTCAAAATATTTTGTCTTCCCATCTGATTTCTAAGAACCTGAAAATTAAAGTATACAAAACAATAATCTTGCCTGTTGTTTTGTATGGGTGCGAAACATGGTCCCTCTCTGAGAGGGAGGAACACAGATTGCAGGCGTTTGAGAATAGGGTGTTGAGGAGGATATTTGGGCCTAAGAGGGAAGACGATGGGGCGTGGAGAAAACTGCATAATGACGAGCTTAAAAATCTCTACTCCTCCCCCAATATTGTCAGGGTGATTAAAGTCGAGAAGAATGAGATGGGCTGGGCATGTAGCACACATGGATGGGACAAGAGATGTGCACCGGGTATTGGTTTGGAAGCCTGAGGGGAAGAGACCACTGGGGAGACCTAGACATAGATGGGAGGATAATCTCAGGTGGGATCTATGGGAGATAGGAGTTGAACAAGACTGGATTTTGTTGGCCCTGGACAGGGTCCGGTGGAGGGCTTTGGTTAATTTGGTGAGTCATCTAGTTAGTTAGTTATCACTGTTACTGTCATATCACACTGTATGGCTTCAAAGAGCAAGGATCTTTTTCACAAGTGCAGTAAATATCCAGTGTCAAACACTATCTGGCATCTCATTCTTATTTAACTTGCCAGACTGAGTTTAGGGATACATTTCCACAATCCTCCCAAGTAAAACAAATCAGTGATATCTTACCTGATGAACCAGTATATTTTTATAATGTATGCCAAAAAAAAACAAGTTTTCTGATAACATTGCATGTCTACTCTCAAAATCCAGTTGCTGTAAAACACTGAAATTTGGCATACATACCTATCTCCATTGAGACTACAATCTCATAAGAAATCATTCAATTCAAGGGCTCAGGTTGTAGCCTGTGTAGATTTGAGATGGAATTACCTATTTAAGACCTTCAATTTTAACCCCATAAGTTCTATAAGCTTTCATGTTAGGATGCCGATGCTACTCTGCTATGACAGCTTAGATTTCTAATGCTTCATAGGTTCCTACTAATTGTCAGAAACACCTGTATACTAAACTTCTGTTGATATGCAAACCCCAATATTTGACAATTTCAGTGGGTTCAGTGACCTCTGATTCTGCAGTGGGGAAAAGTACAAAATCCAAAATTTGTTCAAGCGCTCATTTATGCTGTAAAACGACAGAAAAAATCATAAAATAATTAATCACACAACTACAAGTTTTCTTAGAATCTGATGGTTTCAAATGAACTGATCTGTATCATTTTCAATCATCATATTTTCTCTTGTCAAATACTTACATTCCATTACAAAAACTTTAATTAATTTCTGAGAATATTTCACGCTCCTAACAGCCTGCTTCACGAATAAGTAAAATACAAATTACTTTACATGTCATACCAAAAGTTACCTTAAGTTTCAAAAATAATTGTAACTTTAAATTTATATTTGAAAAGAGAAAGCAGAAACTTTAAAATCAGTTTACATTGCTTTCTTCCATTCAATAAATTAATATAGTATTATTTTCAACGGAAACACAACAGACAAGAAAGTATTTTACACTCAAAAGAAAATATTATAATAATGGCAGGCACTAAAAGGACAGCCTGATGCAGGGAATTGTTTAAGAAATTTAATACTGTTCCACTAGCCAGCAAGTTCTTACTCTCATTATTATCATTTGTAGAGAACAACATAGAAAATTTTCAAACAATAGGATATCCACAATACAAATACAAGATACAGACATAATATTCATGTGCCAAACATTAAACTCTGTAAATATCAAAAAAGAGTTTACTGAAATTAAGCTGTTAAATAATCCTCCCCCTACAACAGAAAGTCAGAATCACTATTAAATAAGTTTAAGCTAGCAATAAAAGAGTATCTCCTATCTCACTGTAACTCCATAGAAGAATTTATTTCAATTATAAGTACATTTAAGCAGTAGTGGTTATGCTTTCTTGCGCAATTATTTTTGTAGTAATACTGTACTTGACTGTAAATTACGTAAGCAGTAGTGGTTATGCTTTCTTGTGCAATTATTTTTGCAGTAATACTGTACTTGACTGTAAATTACCGTCATAACTATGTAATTAATACCTGTATTAGAAACATGTACTGCATTTGTGCTGTGTTCTACATCCTTGACTTACGCTTATGAAGATTTATGGATTGTAAATAAATTGTATTCTATTACTTGATAAAATTGTTAAATGTTAAATGATCACTGTTTTACATTAAATACTAAATTCTGACTTCACAATATCCTCTCTTCAAATGCCAAGAGAGAGAAATTTTCATTCAGTTTAAAATATGCATGATGGTATTATGATTGCCGCCTTGTGCTTGGGAAATCTTCATATGCATTATTTTTAAATGTTAATATCAACCTAAGTTCTTGATGTGTGAATTTCGATGCTTTCAAGAACCTGTCTGTCACCTTGCAGATAACATAAATAGGGAGGCGTTATCTTAACTGTCATGTGTCATTTATAGCTCACATGGAGAAATATTAATGGCCTGCCTAAAATATCACATAAAACGTAGTTACAATTATAATGAAATTGCAAATTTTTGACAACAGTTTTATAGAAGTTTCTGATTACCACAAGTCAATTCAATATGTACATTTCCTTGGCAAAAGGTTCAAATTAACTCTTCGGCGTTGAAGTTGAAGCAGCAAGCACTCCGCACTCCAACCAAGATTGACCGGACAGACCACAACCCTTACTTTCAATGAATAAGAGAACGGACTGAGAAGTCACGTCCGTCATTTTTACATTACATGCGAACTAAAATTAAAACTCTACACGTAACTATTCGTATTTACCAAATTAAATGGACGCTTCACGCATATTTCACAAGATTCCCACATTGATAATGTAAACCACTTAACATTGTGTCTAAACCACGGATTACTACAGGTGCAAAGTGACGTCACATCAGACACCATTCTACAATCGTATTTTCTTTCTGGCTCTCGTCGATTAAAGGCGAATGAAACATTTCACATATACAAGAACGTTACTTAATACATTCGTTTGGTGCATTAATGTAGATCGAAACTAAAATTTTATGAAATTAAGCTAACTTATTTTGTTCTTACTTTTTTAAGCTCATTTGTTTTCCTACTAGTGTGAGTGAGTTCAGTTACGCTGTTCAAATTCGTTTCCGACGATCTTATACATATTACGCAAGTAATAAATATTGTCCTAAATCTTGGAACTGGTATTTTGCATGAACTCAGCATACTGAATATAACTTACCGTACTATTACATAATTTTTATTTGCAATATAAATGGTACGTATTATGTTTGTTGATCCTATATGTTCTGTGTAACAGAAGAATAAATACGTTATCTGAGTGTTAAAATTTTGTTCAGCGTGCATAAATTAACAATGACAACAGAAATATTGGAATTACTTTGTAACTCCATGAAACTGGAGCGAGATAGAGGTGTTGCAGAGCTTCTGCGGGCATTGCCAACATGTAACAAAAGTGAAAGACTGCAATTTGAAGTTAATCTTCTACTTCTGATTAGTGATTCTGAAACGTCTTGGGAGACGAAGCATGGCTGTTTGTTAGCAGCCAAAGCCTTGATTCCATACCTGAATCTAGATGATGAGCATGATGCTGATTTTGTGCATAGAATGAAGGGCATTGCAGAAAAATTTCTGACAGACATTGAAGTCAGAGTAAGGACTGCAGCTGGTAAGTTCTTGTAATGTTTGCTTCATTTACATTATTCAAGAAACAATGTTTAGTTTGCATTTGTACCACTGAGCAACTGATTGAAAAGTCTGCTATTTAGTAACAGTTTCCTAGATATATGAATGAAGCATGAAACAGTAGAGAAGCATTGAGAGGTTGTCTATTAGTGAAAGGCTTTGTGCGGCCCATTCATTAACTTTCACATGTTTTGTCTATATTCTAATTGTTGCCACACCTGAGTTAAATGACTTCACACTGCTTCTTGTTCTTTGCTTTGAATAGTACATATCAATTTTCACACTTAGTACCATTTATTTATGTAGTCCCACAGGTAAAAGTCTAGTAGATAAGATCCAAACACTGAGGTACCCAAATTCTTTAATCTTCTGTTCCAGTCCACAAACACGGGAAATGCTAATTTGGACCTTCATCCACAGGGAAGTGTGGCTCCATCAAATTGAGATTGCTTTATTGTGTTCAGTTTGTGGTGTCATGTGAAGTTGTGTCAAGTTCAGAGGTTGTTTCTGAATGTCTAAATGAACATTTTCTAGGTCATTGGATTGGAGGAGGAAGCTCCTAAATTTAGGCACTTTGCTCTCTTGATCTCATTCCACTGCTTAAGCCAGTTTGACTATATTAAATAAGTGGTGTAATTATATATGATCTGAAGCTCTCACAGTGACTAAGTATAAGAAATTCTTCTCAGGCTACCTGCCGTGTCAGGCAGTTGAATGGAAAAAACACCATTGTTTTGAGAACCATCTTCCTTAGTACCCTGAGGACAAGGACAAAGACGGTTCTTCAAATGTTGGTGTTTTCTGTATTCAATCGCCTGGCATGGCTGGTAACCCAAGAATTCACTATAGTGGTGTAATGAGTTGAAATCCATGATGCAGAACATTTGAAGTAAAGAGTTAGAGGCAGTTAGAACTGTTACTTCAGATGTCCTTCGATGGGTGTGGCAAGAATTGATACACCGAATGGATGTGTGCAAAGTGATAAATTGGGCTGATGCTGATTGTCACTCAGGTAAACACCTACCAATCACTAAACATTGCAGCATTTGCTATTACACAGTCAAGAATGAGGTTCATGGTACTGCACTGTTGCGAATATCAGGGATAGATATTACAATAAAAGCCATAAAATAAAACATAGCACCGTTGTATTTACTGTTTGCTTGAATTTGTTTAGAAATAAAGTACTAATAATTTTTAACCAGGATGATTTGGAAAACCTTTCAGTTCAGTGCTTCACTCGCTTTAGGTGGCATGCACGTACATTTAAGAGAAGTTTTTTAGAAGCTAGTTGAAAACTTAGTAGCAAAGATTGCCTGATGTCATCTGCATACTCAAGTTTATAATAATGGATTCCTCATTACAGGTGAAGTTTTAGGTGTACTTTGTGGGAAAATTGGACCAGCTGTGTATCAAGAGTGTAAGGAGTATGTGTTGCGATTGATACAGAGTAATTTGGAAAGACAAGTGGCTGATGACGATGATGGCTCAAAACATGAACAGTTGGAAACGGAGAAACTAATGGAAAAGTTAGCAGGTCCTTCCCAAAGGGTAAGTTGTCATACTAGACAGCTTAGGGTGACAACACTTGCAAAATGCTGTGAAAATCTCCTGTTTGTAAACAGTATGATATTTGAATAGTTTTGAGCCCAAAGACTGTCAGAAGACTGCGGTTGGCTCGAGAAAAGTCCATAGCAATTGAAGATAGATGATAGAAGGAGGCTGATTGAAATCTGGCTATCAAAATCTTAGGTAGAAATAGTCATGTTTGTTTCTGCTTCTTTTGAAGAATGTTTTGATTGTGATGATGAACCCAGAGAGAAACAGAGCTATACTAACCTTTATCATCCATGCATAACAGCTTGTGTGCAGTCCAGCTGGCCGTGTGTCAATACCAGTAAATCCTTATCACAGGAGTCTTAAAACCCTTCATGCTGCATTAGTATAGAAAATTTACAGAAACCAACCACTTTTGGTTAAGCTAGGTAAGGATAAGTTGAGTTTTGATGTGGAGATTTGATGGGTGAAATGGATGTTTGGAGCTAATCTCTAGGTTACTGTGGGATAGGTTGCAATAATTGTTTAGTCAGCTAAGGTATGTTAGGTAGTGTTGAATAAGGGAAGTTGGAAGATGGATACTATTGAGGTACTACTTCAGGTTGTTGGTGATTTTGACGGGGCAAGGCACTTTAATGTTGCAAAGAATTCGTGGGTAAGCTCTGTATATTCCAGGACTGCATAAACTTACCAGGTTTGTTTTTACTAGCAGAAACTGAAAATTTAAAAAATTTTAAACTCTTTCACATTCGAGATCTGTGACTGCTGAACAAAATGTTTCATGCACAAGTCTCAGAGCATCATCTTCTACATTTTCTTGATCTGACACCAGCTTTCCAAGTGTGACATCTGAGCAGAATATCTTACGAAACATTCTCTGAAATCATTAGGAGTGGCTCACAGTTACTGTTACGTGTTACATATTGTTGTTTTAATACTCTATTATGATTATTAATGTTTTTGATTAGTGTTTTGCTAATTCAGATTATCACCCAATCTAGATCATTCTTCCACTGGATTAGTTGGGTTTTATTGTATTTTAGAGGTTGGTAACTGTAACAAAATTTCTTTCATCACGTTGTGTCTTTTGTGGAGAATGAGTTGTAACCTTAATGTTCGCATCATTCAGCGCAACAGTGCTGAAGCTGCCCAGATTTTCCATGATACAGCTGGGTGGAAGAACTTGGAGACAAGCCTCAAGTGCTTACAGGCAATGATTGATGGATGTGGTGCATTCTTTCAACCGTTTGTGGATGATGACTTGCTGCAACTTATCTTCACAACTTTAACACACACCAATCGATTTGTCCGTGAAACTGGTTTTTACGTCTGCTCATCCCTTGTTGGCTGTGGCAGCAGTGATCAAGGTATGCATAATTAGGAAAGGCGTTAAGATTTTTGTCAGCGAAAGGTACGTTATTTGGATATTTCGGTTTCTCATTTATAGTTATTGCACTGTATGATACTTATCAGTGTCTGGTGTGCTTTTGAATTGCTAATGAAACAGACTTAACATTTTCCTCTAAATTTCTATGCATCAAATAGAATGCCATGTTGTCTGAGGGTAAGATATGCCTAATATATTGTAATTACTATTGCAATTGGTTATCGTGAGGCTGATCGAAAGCAAAAGGTTAGCCTGGCTTGGCCATGTTGCAAGAATGGAATGGAGACCGACGGGAAGAAGGATGAGAGGGAGACCACGGAAACGATGGATAGACGTCGTGGAGGAGGCTGTGAGGACGATGGGAGTAAGGGGATGGAGAAGAATTGTGAATGATAGGACAGAATGGAAAAAACTCGTCGAACAAGCGTAAGACCCACACAGGGTTATAACGCTACAAGAAGAAGAAGAGATTGCAATTGATTGGTCACTGGTGTGATTCTGTACTACCAACTTCTATGACAAATACCCCTGCAGTTTTACATGTGAAAGAAAGCAGGAAGATAACATGCACAATTGAGAAAACAGTTGAAAATGGCTGTCTTCTGGGATGTTGCACTGTATAGTCTGGTATAATGTCCCAGAAGACAGCCATCCTCATATGCATGACCTTATCCTCATACTCATCACATTGAAGACCTCAGAGCTCACTGAGAATATAGTTATTTAAATGAGCAATAACTAGCCCACATATTTTTCCACTAGTTACCTGGTTTCGTCAGTATCAAAGCTTCAGCTATTGTTTAACTTGATTAACCTGCATATAATTTTCAAAAAGTCTGGGTGACTTTGTACATTTATTTGTATTAAATGAATTAATCATAAAAAATTTGTAACGTTTAGAGTGGTAGACATATTGTGTTTCTGAGCTCTGTAAAATACTGTCTCAGATCTGATACTGTTCAGTTTATACCAGAATACATGGTACAACATCCCGGAAGGCAGCCATCTTTTTATGCTGAAGATCATTTCTCCATTGAATTGTATGTGTAAATAAATTATATGAGTTTCCTCTTTCATTTATTCAATTATAAAAATTGCACATATTACTGCACCATCTTGTATTTATATGTATGATACAAGAACGTCATTCCATATTAGTTGCCCAAGTAGAACTCAGTTCATATCTATGTTACTAATTATTAAATAATCAAAATATAAATTATTAACATCTCATTCAGTGCTACATAAGACATGTGGTTGATATTGTCTCAGCAGTTGAATATTGCTGTTGCAGATACTGAAGGCAGGGACAGCGTTGGTGTGGTAAATCATGTCTGCACATATG